CCGCGCCACGACGGCCGTCATGTGCTGTATCTTCCCGACACCGGTGTCTCCGAAGCCAAGCCGGTGGATAGGAAGAATCCGTACGGCAACCGTGCCCTCTTTGCATACGATGTCGCAGCCGGGGGCGTTCTCACGAATGCACGCTTCTTGAACAACCCGATTTCGTATTTCTATGACGGTATTCGGGTTTCGAGAAATGGTTGGATCTTTGTCGGGGCTGGCGACGGCGTGGATGTCATTGATCCCGTGTCTGGACTCGCACTTGGCACTATACGTGTGGGTGGAGGAAGCAATCTGGCGGTGAACATGGCATTTGGCGTGCATGAGCTATGGATCGTAGGTAGAGGCGGGGTTTGGCATGTGAGCGATATTGCAGAGAAATTGGATCGGGACTGGTAGCTACACGCGAAGCTTTGGTGTATCGGGATGCATGGATCACTTGAAACTTGGTGGCCGAAGACTTGAAGATGGAGACATTCTAAGCAGGATGCAAAAACGCCTTGTCAACCATCAACTACCAGGTATTTTGAAACGCTCTAAGCACTATCCCTATAGCTTTTTGTCTTAATAGACGTACACAAACTCATCATTCTGGCGATCAGTCAAATCCATGAATGCGTTATCTCCCAACTGAGCACCAGCCTCATCATTCTGTGCGCTAACATAGTGGTGCTCCATGCTAAGATCCTTGATCTTTCTCGGCTTGCCGTTCGCCACTCTCTTGCGCTCCTGCATCTTATTGGAGACGAAGAGGTTGATGACCTGCAGTCCGATGACGGCGAGCAAGGCACAGGTGATACCCATGACTTTGGTGAGACCAGGCTTGTACTCGGGCGCATCCTTAGAGTTGAAGAGAAGGGGGCCGATGATGTTGCCGGCGGAAGATCCAGCATTGTACAGGGACATGATGACGGACTTCTTGGTGGTACCCGCAATGTTTGAGATCATCCAAGAGACGATGAGGGGGTTGCCGCCGAAGAGGAAGGCAAGCATGTAGTACGCGGCGAGGAGAGGGGGAATGCTGTTCCTAGGAAGAACATAGAGCATGACCGCGCCAGTCAGGACAGGGGCGAGGACGGCCGCGAGGAAGGCTGACTTAATGCGGAATCGGTGGGCGAGGTAGGAAGCCGGGAAGATGACAATAAGCTGCACGAAACCAAAAGGGATGTTGAGCAGGGAGCTCTTCATGCTGTCGAAGCCGAAGCCAGAAATGACAATGGGGCCGAAAGTGTTTGTCACAGCTGCGGTGACATTGAGGCACACGGCCATACCAACGAACAGCCAGCTCTTGGGCTCGTAGAGGGCCTCCCAGACTTGGCTCCACTTGAACTCGTTCCCTCCCGTGCCGGTCTGGTTGGCGCGAAGACGCTCGATGGCCTGCAGCTTCTCGTGCTCGGTAAGGAATCGGGCAGAGGGAATATCGCTATCGAGGAAGTACCAGACGACGGGTGCGGTGAGGACGGTGATGAGACCGACAAAGATGAAAAGAATCTGCCACGAGTGGATGGACCCGTTGATTTGACCCAAGCCGTACGAGACAGAGGCGGCAAACATGGTTGCAAGACCGTTGGTGCCGTACCAGCATGCCACACGCATGGGCTGCTCAGCGCGACGGTACCACTGCGAAGTGATGACAGAGAAAAGAGGAAGGCAGCCGGCCTCGAACAAGCCCAGCAGGAAGCGGGTCGCCAAGAGACCTGCGTAGTTGTGGCATGCAGCCATGCACACCTGCGCGATACCCCAACCCAAGACCAAGGAGGGCATCAGGATGCGGTGTGGCACCTTGACAATAAGCCAAGAGGAGAAAGGCTGCCATGCGAGCTGAGCGATGGCAGCGATGGAGCTGACCATGGAGTATTCATTTCCGGTCAAGTTGCAGTCTGTTCTGAGGCCATGGATGGCGCCGTATCCGAGAACGGACTTGTCGAGGATCTGGAGGAAGTAGACCCAGATGAGGATCGAGAGGATTCGCTTATCGGTCTTTCGGCGGATGCGTTTGTTCTATAGTAGTTGAGTCAGCTCCTCTTCAATTTGATAAGACCCTAAAAATTAGGTCGACTTACATCTTCCTCTGTGACCTCGATTTGTTGATCACCAATAAGGTTCGCCGCGCGGTCGGCACCCTTGGCAATGTTTTGGCCCTGATGCTTGAGCTGTTCGACGTCCTCGGTGTTGCGATGCTCAAGCTGAGACACACCGTCTCCAGTCTTTGATGCGGTGTCCATGTTGTTTATTGGCGGTAAGCTGCTCTCTTGGTGAAAGGCTGACTAAGAAAGAAGACAGGAATTCAAGAAGAGAGAACCGGCTTCTCCCTTGATGGTCCAAACATCCAGACAGCCAAGATGGGCGGCGATCTCCTACCATCTTATACCTAGACCCTGTTTATCGTCGTATCGCCGGCCGCGTCGTAGGCCGCTCAGATGTTCGGCGAAAAGCTCGAGCCAAGTTCGTCATGAGCAACATTCGACCGTACGAGGTGCATCTAACCCATACCATCTCATCCAATAATTGCTTTAGATAGGCGGATGTGAGAGGATCCCCCCATGGGAACCTACCCGTTCCCCTCAGTCCATCACCGCGCGCTAAGCAAGTTTGTAGGTTGGCATGGCACGCATGGCTGGCACCGCGTGGAGAGACCAGACGAAAATGGCACTAATTCCCCTCACGAACCACACGTTGCCCACCTTCGGGAGGTGGGGACGGAATGTTGGGGATGGAGAGAAGTCCGCGTGCGGTGAAAGGCAGGCTACCTGACTAGCCGTGCATAAAACCGTACACAAATGGGATAATTATGACCTAGTGCGGCCTCGCCTGGACAGACCTCGGCGGTGTCTTGCAAGTTGGAGGTGCGAGAGAGGACTGACAGCTTGATGCCCCCACGCAGAGGCTGAGGATTAACTTTGGCACCAAATAAGGATGACCATGGTGTCTGTCAACTGACCCGAGACTGTGGACGTGTTCAGCTTTGCTATACTCTTTTCAGATGAGATTATCTAGTGCCCGGACTCCCTGAGAAGACGAAGGTTTGTGCCCGTCAAAATCACATAGATGGTGTCTAGCGTTGGGGTAGCTATCCCTAGTTCCTTGCCCTTTCGGTAGGGGTAACCGAGGATAATGTCCACTTCCATCGGCCGACCGGCTTTGAAGTCGTTTTGCATGCTGCTGCCGATGGGGTGCATAGCCAGGATCTTGTTGATCAGCTTGTCGACCAGGTCGTAATCGATAGGCACCTCGCATGCCTTAGCAACATCGATAACTTCTCTCATCAATCGTTGGGTCATTGGGGTAGCGTCTGGCGAGGAGCTAAGCCATGAATGCGTGTCGAGTAGTGTTAGTGTCGTGAGCGAGTTCCACGCTGCATTCCAAACAACCTTTTCCCAGCGCTGTACTTGGATATTGGGCACCACCTGAAATACTGTCTTGCCCTCTGTCAATAGAGATGCAAATTCGTCCTGTCGCTGCTTCTCCACTGCCTGGTCGGTATCATTCGGGTACAATCCTATTTGCATGTCCTCGGACTTTGTGTGTTTGATGTGCCCAGGCTGAGGCTGAGCGGCTCCGGTCCAGGTCTGTCTCATTAGTATAAGCTCATCCCAGGTTCTTGGAGACTCTCCCCCCGCGACTCACCACGCATGAGATAATTGTTGTGTGGGGGAACGCTTTGCGGAATGGCACTTCGTTACCGACACCATTCTGAATAATGACGATCGTGGATTTCTCCGCATCAACTGCCGGGGCAATTTCCGCGGGGACTGCATCCTGGGTGATGGCTTTGTGAGTGCAGACAATGTAGTCAAACTTCGCTTCCGCCTCTGCGGCATTCCTTACAACTTGGGGGTATTAGCTTTGAACAGCTGGATGAACAGGGCTAAGGCCATGATTTCGCTCCCCATCGGCTACCCCGGATTTCATGTGCATACCTCTGTAAGGGCGAACATTATGCTCTCCATGGTTTTCGCTCGCAATAACGATTCCATTTTCCTTCACTGCGTTATAATTTGACCTCGCAACAACCGTTAATCTAACACGCGGTACTCTGCTTAGAATAAAGGCGTAGAATGATCCAATGCTGAACAGATGGTGTCAGCTTCTCATCCGAATAGGAATTCAGGGTGAGTGACCCACGCCCCCAACCCGTAGAGGAGGACCTCGATCTGCTGGCCTTGTGCAGTCATTATCGAAGTCTTGGTGCTCGTTGGACCTTGTTTCGGCGCAAAGACTTCGGTTGGCGTTCAGCTGTGCTCTGTAGCATGCACTTCTGGTATGGTCCCCTCACTCGACCTAGTATTTGTACACTAATCCGCCAGATTCCTGTTGCGAATACCGGCCGGCAACTGACTTCAGCCCCCGATGTTCGGTGCGGAGGTGGAGAAGCCACCAGGGCACCTACCCCAGAGATTCCTTCGCTGTTACCTTCAGATCGGCGAACCTTGTGTTGTGTGCCCGTGTATCGTGGGGGAACGGGCGAGGAAGACTCCTTGGGGGTTAGATGGGGGTTGCCGGGCGTTGCATCCGGGGCCTGTGACCAGGGGTTCGGAGAGGTGTCCGACGTTGCGCCCCATCACCCCATCTTTCCCCCTCATTTCTCGGCCATCGTCTTGGTCCGACGCGGGGAAGCCGGTACTGAACCTTCTTTTTGTGATTGGAGGCCTCAGTGTGGTGAATCTCGGTCGACCTTCGTCTCGGGTCCGTGGGGTATTCAAGGGGGGCTTCAGCCATTTGTTTGTCCTTTGGAGTATGATATCATCGGTGCGACTGATGGGTTCAAAGCTCGTAGCATCGTGTCTACTCTGCCCCTGGGTGGATTTGCGCTGCAAGACGGCGAGGAAAACGGGCCAGGTAATTGCACGCAGAGAAGAGTTTTCACTCGGCATATGTGACTTTTGAATCATGTTAAATTTGACCATAGTCCTAGTAAGCATGGACATGTCGCTTTCAATTACCTAGGTGCTTGACTTGTGATTTTGTGGTTGCGTACTGTCTAACCGCAACTCTCTCCTTCACCGTAGTTGTGAAGAAGACTTCTTCCTCTCCAACTTTTCGCCCCAGATTCTCGCACAATTCGCAATCTGCAACGCTGTCTCTCGGATTCTGGTAGCTTGCCTGACAAGCCTGCTTCTCTCCGAAGGCGTTTTGGGTGTCTTCCCAGGGTCTGATTCTTCCTCCTTAATCGTATGACCCCATTCGTCTGCCGACCTCGCCACTAATCGAGCGGCGTCTTCGATTTTCTTCCCCGGTGGCTCTGATCCGTCCTCAGTGAAACATTCTTGGGGTTGCGTTGCGATTACGCCCGCAATGAGGTTCCACACAGCAATCAGATCCTCCTTTGGTATGGATGGTGATATCGTCGCAGAGATGGACCGTCGTTCGGCGGAATAGCTCCGTACCGGCCTCGACGATGATCCTGGCCGATCTGATGTGCGTGCCAGCAGACAATTGCTGCACGCACCGTTGTAGATGCCCGGCATTTTGACGCACTCTGGTGAGATCCCATCTCCCCTTCGGCATTTGGAGCATTGATCCTCAGAGCCTTGCAGGTCTCCTCGCTCATGAAGCATAATTGCTTCCAACACAGGCGTCTGTGAGATGTCCGGTGATGCCCGGCCGTGCCTGACCCTCCAGGCCCTCCGCACTGGGAGAGGACCCAGGATCTTCATGGTCTCTGTAGGCGTGATTGATGGTTGTAGGCCTTGATCTCCAGCATCTTGGGCAGTTTCTGGAGCTGCGTCTTTGATGTTTTTGTGTCGTCCTCTGTGCTCGTATGATCCTTGGCGATTCCCTACCCCGCTATGTGCTGGTGCGGTCTTCGAGCTGATCTGACCAACGCTTGCTCCTGCTCCCGTCCGGACTCTCGATGCCAGTGTTGTAGAAGGCATCGTACCCTGTTCTTTTTGTGTAATTTCTCCCGCTCTGGCCAAAAGTTGAAGCGTAATATCTGCGATTTCCCGTTCATCGCCCATCACGCTCAGGCAAATGAGGGCATATCAAGAAGAGTGATGCTGTTTGACCAACCGACCGAACCACCGAACATGAAAGGAAAAATAAACAACCCACCAGGAAAAAAAAAGAATTCAACCTCGTGATGCGGACCAGGTGGTCCACATACTCCAACGTACGAAAAAGCCACTTATAAGTTCCGGTGAAGAAGCCCGAAGTCTTGCCCCCAGTTACGTAATTCAATTGGTCATCTGTTCTACCGCGGGCGAGCTCGGAGGTGGTGGGTGATTGGCCGTCAGGAATTGCCGTGACTGTCAGATTCATGAGACGTTCTGGACTCTTGGAGATCTGCTGTCCCTGCACTGTGGGAGTCAGGCACTTTTGGTTCTGGGTCTGGCTCCAAGCGAGCCCTTCGTCCACGCCTTGTATGTTCGGGGTCCCCATGGAGGGTATACAGCGGGATACAAAAGCGCAGCATGGCTCCCAGATGAGCCCGGGAGAGAAGGGTGTTCGTCCAATTCAGCAACTATCCCACTAGTCATCATGTGCTATTCCCCGATTGGACCAAGTGGCAATATCGGGCTCGTTTTTCCGTTGCCAGTGTGGGAGGCTCGCCCGAGAAGTCGGGAATGACAACCCATCCCCGCGGAAAGATGCCTCGAGTGTCTCACCTGGTCGCGCATGCAAAGCTGAGAGAGCGGCCCTGGGCCGCCGAGGCGCCTGGGGGTTGGTCGGGAGCACAAGCGGTCACCAAGAAAAGGTTGAGAGGGCCAACGTGGGTTGGGTTACCGAACATAGCCGGGCCAGCGTCGATCCATTTGCAGAGTGTGAGATGAAATCTGACCGGACATACGCCAGGCCGGGTAAGGGTTAGCGGAAGCGCAAGAGAAGCGAGATGGGTATGTTCTACTTTTGGCTTCGTACCTCGCATGGTCGCGTGCAAACAAGAAACAACAATACCCCCACGGGGAAGAGCAAAGTCTTTGGCATATGCTGGTTTCTCTGCGTCACACAAAACAATGGTCTCCAACCAGCGACAAATTCAGCGAAGTCGCGTGTGTAAGGAAAATAAAACCACGCCGGTTTCCACCGCGAATGTCACCATCTCGACTGATCAACACGCTGATTCCGGCCCGGAACAGTCCAGATACATGATCTGCTTGGGCAAACCATTGTGGAGAAGAAACAGTGGAGTCTGATGGGGTTGGTAGGTGGGAAAACCAGAATTATTTGGTACCAGAAACCGCCCCCCGCGGGTTTAGTCTCCGATACTTTCGTTTCCTCCGTTCTGTGGGGGGTAGGGAGGAGGCTTTTCGATGGCTTCGGACGACGAAATAGTCTACCATTAGACTCGTCTTGGAAGAGGTGCCGGCGTGGGGGTTCGGACTACGTGGTTACATGGGTCGTTCCTACGGCTTATGTTACCTATTTTCGTGCCTGACTTACACCGACACAAGGGAAGGGGGCGAAAGTCGATCCCATGATCATCCATGTTGCGCTGGCCTGTCTGACTTCCTTGCATTCTGAGTTTGGATGGGTTCTTTGTTACAAAAGCTTTGTTCGCGAGTAAGCTAATCCACCAAAACTCTCCTCACATCCCACCGCTGCTCCTGAATCTGCTCCCGCAAACTACTTGCTCCCTCGTGCCACAAACCCGCAGAATCAGTCCACAATGTCTCCCTCAGCAAACGGCGGTTCCGCCAGTCACAATGGCAACGGCACACAGCACGGAGCACGGCCGGCTCTGACTCCCGGCCTCTACGTCCCGACCGTGGCATTCTTCCGCTCCGACGACTCAGTAGACGTCGAAACCACACGCTCCCACGCCGTCCGTCTCGCCAAAGCCGGCGTCGCGGGCCTTGTGACCCACGGCTCCAACGGCGAAGCAGTGCACCTCGACCACGATGAGAGACAACTCATCAACCGCACCACACGAGCCGCGCTCGATTCAGCAGGAAAGACAGAACTACCTCTGATTGTCGGTTGCGGCGCGCAGTCGACAAGGGAAACTATTCAACTCTGCAAAGAGGCTGGTGCATCAGGAGGCGACTATGCGCTCGTCCTCCCACCAGCTTACTACGGTGGCCTCCTCACCACCGACCTCATCCTACAACACTTTCGCGAAGTCGCAGACGCAAGCCCGATTCCTCTTCTCATTTACAACTACCCTGGCGCCTGCAGCGGCCTCGATCTCAACTCAGATACCATCATCAACCTCGCGAGTCACCCCAACATTGTCGGCGTAAAGCTGACCTGCGGTAACACTGGCAAGCTGGCTCGGATAGCTGCTGCTACAGCCCCCAAGAAGGGCGACAACAACACGACACCATTCCGGACATTTGGCGGTAGCGTGGATTTCACTCTGCAAACACTCGTCGTCGGTGGCCATGGCATCATCGGTGGAACCGGAAATATTGCACCTCTTGCTTGTGTGAAGCTGATGCAGCTTTGGGATGAGGGCAAGTTGGCAGAAGCGAGAGAGCTGCAGGCAGTTGTGGCCCGCGGTGACTGGACTGCTATCCAAGGAGGATTTGTCTCAGTCAAGGCAGCATTGCAGGAGTACTACGGCTATGGAGGGCTTCCGAGGAAGCCTTGTACATTGCTCGAGGGAGAGAGCCTGACAAAACAGGTTGACGGATTTTCAGAGTTGATTCAGGCTGAGAAAGCATTGCAAAAATAGATGCTTGTAACAAGGTGGGTTTTGGCTTAGGTTTCAAGAGAATCATAGCGTATTGATCATTGAATGAGCTTTCACCTGAACATACTGGCAAGACAAGTGTTGGAATGAATGACAATGGTCGCGTCCCAATTCCCCGTCGACAAATTGAGCGTCACTTTGTCGCCTACTGCATGCACTTTGGCTGATATTCAGTGTATTGGTTGGGGAATCTCCCAATCTAGAAATGGGTGCTGCACTACTCTGACGATACGGGGCGCCCTTTCAATCTCTCCGTCTTGATGCCTCTGCATAGATGATGTTGTTCGATCCTCTGATACAGCTTCGACAAAACACTCATTGCGGTTATTCTTGCTTCAAGATCATAAGAGCCCTGTAAACGCGCCCGTTTCCGCCGTATTTGGTATCATCCTGGAGAAACTCTGTTCCGATCACGAAGCCAAGGCGCTTGTAGAGGTCCACCCCGTCTTCCATAGCATGTATGAAGATGCCAAGGCACAATTCTTTGGCTTTTGATATGCCACTTTTGACCAAAGCAGTGCCTATGCCTTTGCCTTGGTTGTCCGGATGAACCGCCAGGTAGTCCAGTCCTACGTGACAAGCATAATAAGCACTTGGGAGATGGAAGACGCAAGTTAGAGGAAAAACACACGCATGTAAGCTCTTCTGCTTAGAATTTCATCCTCCGCCTCCCGGATAGGGACAAGCAAATCGTCCGACTCCTCGTTAGGATCCCAATGAGCTGTCCCGGCAACACGCCGGATCTCCGCTTCTTCCTCTTGGCTGACAGACGGAACCACGGCATCGGGCCAAGCCGGGGCCCCGCCGATGCTCTTGGCGTGGGATGAGGGCAGAATCCACCGGGCATATCCCACTATTCGCCCGGTGACGGAATCCACGGCCTTTTGATGTCGCTTCGTATCGGGGTCACTGATGAGGTTTCGCGGCGTTCGCTTGGCTATCTGCATGTTATGGTACTCAAGGGTCCGATGGCACCAGGCGAGTTGCCAGTGGGGATCTGCCCAGAAGGCGGGGATGTTGTTTCTGGTCAGCCAGCTCATGGCTGTCGGCCACAGTGCAGCCCGCAATGATGATTTTGGATGTAGTTTCCATCGCTTCGACTTGAGAAAACAGCGCAAGACCATGCTGGTTCTTTGGACAGAAGGACCGCAGCAAAGCGATATCTTGGGAGCTCATGACATTTTTGGACAACGTGGTCACTTGGTGGGTTTTCTGCCGTGGCCCGGCTATCGGCATTTTGGAACTGCATACAGCACCACCCCTGCATGCCAGGCCATGAACCAACATGTCAGCCTGACTGCTATCTAGCTCGGAGTTCAGCCAAGTTTTCGAACGACAATACAGTCCTTTGGAACAATAAATGGGCGTGTAACAGAATTGAAGAAGCTGTTACGGATCGAAAGACACCTGCTTAGTACACCTTCTATCTCGAAGGGCTACAATGACTCACCATCTGTGATTTGAGACTTTCGTTGAATACGTTCATGTATCGAAGCCGAAAGCTGTTCTTCAGAGCCTCAACACTCTGCCTCTTTACCCTGATGCAAGCTGTCGATCCTTCTACAGCTATGATGCAGGTTTCTAGCACTCACAGACGGCGACAGGCTGGAGAAGTCCGTCTGCCTTTCCCCGCCTTACCCGAGTCTCCAACGCTCTCAGAACAGTGTCGCGTGACCGTCATTCTCACCTCAACTCGTGATGATTCATCTCGTTGTCTTGCATAAACCTCCTTCCTTCTCTTCTCACTTGTCGTCAAATGATCACCATGGCAATTCTTGTCATCCTTCACCCAATGAATACCGCCTCTTCAAACCCCGCATCAAACCCCGTGCTTCGTGCCCCGACCAAATCGCGACTAAACTCTGACGACGTGCCAACAAGGCCAGGCTATCCCCGGAAGAGGAAACGAGCTGACCCCCACGGAGAATTCTATGTATTTCTGGCTTGTCTGGCGTTTCTGTTCGGGGCCTAGCCCGACGTCCGAGCGGCTCTGCGGGTCCGGATCTGCGGGGCTGACCCCCATCCATCCCGTAATTCATGCGGGGAGCGGGTCGGACGCGAGACCACGAATCCGCGAGGAGGTTGTGTGTACTTGATCGGAAATGGTCTGATGCGTCTCTGATGGTTGCTCCCCTCTCTTCTCTCAAGGCTTGACATCTCAAGTCAGCTTCGCCGCAGGTACCTCAATTCGCATCCTACCGTACGAGATGGCGCACGAATCACCTGAGTTTGGCTCCATGCAGAAACCCGTTTCGAGCTGACAATCGAATCTAGTGTAGCTGGCGGCAAATCATGCGGGGACGACTGGGCACCGACGTGGGGGTCTATGAACGTGTCGTAGGTAGATGGGGGGGGGGGGGGGCTTTGATCTCCATGAAGCTCATCAGGGTAGTAACTCCAATAAGCATATGAAGAATATCCAGGAGGAAAGAGTGTTGCAAGTTGTTTGGCAACATTTACTCAGACAACCGCCACTATGCCGACTATTCTGGAAAAGCTCTTCTCTCTGGAAGGCCGCACAGCCGTGGTCACGGGAGGTACACGGGGAATTGGCCAGGCCATGGCAGTATCACTTGCAGAAGCAGGATCAGATATCATCCTCATCCAAGTAAGAAAGCATGACCACGTAAATATGTAGCTTGACGTTAACAAGAGGAAAGAGAGACGAAAGCAACACTGAAACGAAAACACAAGTCGAGGCTCTGGGCAGAAAAACCTTCATCTACACAGCAGACCTTTCAAATCAAGAGGAAGTGGAGAGCTTGTCGAAGCGCATCCTAGCCGATGGCCACGATGTCAGCATTCTAGTCACCTGTGCCGGCATTCAACGCAGACATCCCGCGCACAAGTTTCCCATGGGCGACTGGGACGAGGTCCTCCAAGTCAACCTCAAGACAGTCTGGACTCTTTGCCGAGACTTTGGCGCTTACATGCTCACACGCAGCCCCAACTCTATAAACGGCCACCGTGGTAGCATCGTCAACGTGGCGTCGCTCGTCAGCTTCCAGGGAGGCATCACGGTGCCGGCCTACGCAGCGGCCAAGGGCGGCATAGCACAGCTGACCAAGGCGCTGAGCAACGAGTGGGCGAGCCAGGGTGTCAACGTGAATGCCATTGCGCCTGGGTATGTTGCAACAGATATGAATGAGGCGCTGATCAATAATCCGGAGAGGGCGGCAAGTATTCTGGCCAGGATCCCCGCGGGAAGATGGGGTACCCCGGATGACTTCAAGGGTGCCACAGTGTTCCTCGCGGGGGCGGGGAGTTTGTACGTTTCGGGAGAGCTGCTTACTGTCGATGGGGGCTGGATGGGCCGATGATACTTGAAGCTGTGTACTTAGTCAAGTAGAGATGTGAGAATACAACATAAAGTAACATCTGTTCCAGAATAGTATCGACATGATCTGCAAACTAAAGCACTGCTCATGGGATGGCATCTTGAGTTGAGTGAACCCCACGTCTTGATGTGTCTGGTATACAAAGGCACTTGCTTTCCCCGCTTGGCCATAGGTCTGACTGACGCTCGATTTCACATGGGCGTGGAGCCAGTGAGAACTCCTCTGCCTGAACATGGTGTGATGTGGCGTGGGGGTTCGGAAATTTTCCGATCCTCTGATGGTGTAATGTCATGCGTTTACGCACATCATCCCAAGGTTGGACATGCTCTGACCTCTAGAGTCAAATAATGTCGAGTGGCAAGAGGACCGTAAGTAAAAACCTCCAACAATAGCTCAAAGCATAACCGAACTCGCGGAAATGATTTGGAAACAACTTGATGGGACTGTTGAAAGTGATATACTGGCAGTGATTTGGCAAATAATGCGCTTCCAGATAACTGTCATATATCGAGGGATGCTGACGACAGCAATTGGACTAATTCAGTTGCCAAAACTACAGTATAACTTCAATCATTGAGCCATCCAACTACCATTCTCTGATGCTGCCGTCGGGGCCATGAAAAACCTTGCACTGCCACGGCTCTGTCTCTTTGGAGATTTTGATAACCATCTCCTCATCTATATCAATGCCCAACCCGTAGCCCGTCGGCGCTTTTACATAACCGCCCTCGATATCGAATACCGTAGGATTCTTCAGATATGTCAAGAGATCGATATCCCCAGCCTCAGTATTGTAGTGCATTCCCAGACTCATCTCAAGAATAGAAAAGTTGGGCGCTGATAAGGCGACTTGTACGCTTGCCGCAAAGGCGACGGGACCAAGGGGGCAGTGGGGTGCAATTGCCACATCATAGGCTTCGGCCATTGTAGCGATGCGCTTTGTTTCGGATATACCTCCAGCATGAGCAATATCCGGTTGAAGGATGTCGACGCTGGCGTCCTCTAGGAAGCGTTTGATGTCCCATCTCGTGTAAAGACGCTCACCAAAAGCAATCGGAATCGTCGTCTGATTTGAGAGCTGCTTGATGGCTTCCGGGTGCTCGCAAAGTAGGGGCTCCTCGATGAATAGGGGCTCATATGGTTCTAGAGCTCTGGCCAGCTGCTTTGCCATTGCCTTGTGCAGGCGGCCGTGGAAATCGAGACCAGCGTCGAGACCAAGAGCCTTGACCTGTTTGAGACGTTCCACTGTGTCTTTCAGGACTCTGGGAGAGTCAACCCAGTTCATGTCCTCTGTTGCGTTCATCTTGACGCATGTCAGACCTTGAGCAATGCGCTTTTTCCTGAACGGATTATTAGTATCGTAACTTCCTGCCGAATATCGGGATACTTACGCTGCGGCCTCAACATCTGATGGTCTGTCGCCCCCAATCCAGCAGTACACTTGAACCTTGTTGCGGACCTGGCCGCCCAGTAGCTCGTAAATGGGAACTTTCAGGTTGCGACCTATAGATCATGACTAATTAGACATTTTTCTCGGCTGTGTGGAGTCTTCGTGTAGAATATTGCACACACCTTTCAGATCCCACAACGCAATGTCAATGCCTGACATTGCTGACATGAAGACGGGGCCTCCTCGATAGAAGCCATGGCGCCAGAATGTTTGCCAAATGTGCTCAATGTTGCTGGGCAGAAGTCAGACAAAGTCTTACGAAAAGTAAGTTGAATACTTTACCCTGCTTCAAGACCGACTATCCTAGGGATCATCTCCTCAAGACAGCCCTCAACAGCCAGATCATGACCCTCGAGCGTTGCCTCGCCCCAACCATACTCGCCATTCTCGTCGGTGATTTTCACCATGAGCCAACGAGGCTTTACGCGGTAATACCGCACGGACGCAATCTTAGCCATGATGTACTAGAGGACGGGAATGGCTCAATAGTGTTCAGATGATTCGAAGCTGGTCGTGATAGAACTCAATACAGTTCAAGCAGTCGTGAAGCACATACAATCATTCATGATTCATCCCATTCTTAACGATGGCCCCCGCATCGTGAAGCTCTGCCATGCAGCGGTACATGTGTAACAATACGATCCACAAGCCCTCAAGGATTGGGGTCACCGGGTATGCCCTCCACGTCTGGCGTTGGTGGTTCATCCCCCACGTCTGGCACGACCCCCACCGAGGCTGGCACAATTGTTCAATACGTGGAGGAATCGTGGAGAATGCATGGGGAAATCCACGATCTCCACCCATTTTACGGGCCGCGGCCCAACGCGGTGTTGTTCCCGTTCCACGTTAGACACAAGTTGTCCGGCTCGGACAATCTAGTCATGCATTTCTTGTTCTCGTGCCTCGTGCTCACCTCATTATCCACACATGAAATTGTGCGCCCTAGCTCGTTGCCAAACATGGTAGTTTCTTTTACGAACCGATTTCGTGGTGTGGGTTTGTCATGACTCGAAGGGATCTAGCTGGCACGGCTGACGCCCGCTGATGTGTTGGGTGCAGCGGAATTGCCCCGAAAGCTCACAAACATGTCTCTAATCACCTTCAACGTCAAGCAACTGTGCTGCCGAGATATGGCTATTTGACTGGCTAGGTAGGTACTGAGGCAATCAACGTAGTGAGACAATCAACTGACTGCGAGGAGTACGGATAGACGGGCATTTGTGGCTGCATAATTCCTTCAGGTAACCCAGGTACTCAACTTAGTAGGGTGAGGTACCTTGTTTCTCAGGGGCGAGCGGCCGCCACACTTGGGGGCAGAATAGCGGGAGCTGCTGGCAGGATATCCTCGCCCTTTCTCAGCGAGGGGCTGCTGAAGGGCAGCTCATGCCAAGATGTTGAGGATTTTGTGAAGAGCCACATCGGTGTTCATACCGAAGCTGTGTGTGTCGCCGCGCATCCGGGTGGATACTGATTCATTGCCGTTCGAGCAACTCTTCTTACGCTCCCCCGCCAGGCCCGATCGGAGTTGGCCTTCCGCCGACACTCAAGAGGCGACTGACACCGTGAGACAGAAAAGTGGCGTCGTTGTGAAAGCGGCTGATTTGCCCACACTTTGGATCATTTATAGGTGTCCAATCAGCGATGAGTTTTGATAGCCGACGCGTATTCTTACGTTCATCTCCAATCCTCCGTCTATTAGTCTATCATTCCACATTAGTCGTCATCTATTAGTTCGCATTTTATCCCGATCTCATCTTTTCTCTCCACCTTGCAATGATCATGCAGTCTCACGTCCTCCCGGGTTGTTGCTGTGGTGCGCTGGTGCGCTGTGCCAGCACTTGCTCGTGGCTGTCGTGGTTGCCATCATGTGAGCTTTTCTCACTCGGGTGTCCCATTTCTTCATCCCGACTCTCACTGAACGTGTCATCTGACTTCGCCTCCTCGATCGGATGCAAGCCTCTGTCTTTGATCAACAGACAGCCCACCAAGCACAACCCGATCAGTGGTATCTGAAGAATGAAAACTGCTCGACTTGCCGCCATGTATGCGTCGAGAACCGCGGACTTATCTTGCTCATTCAGTTGCGGTATCGAGTAAGTACTGCTGGCGAGGTCCTTGAAGCCTGGAGGCAAGTTTGCTCGCAAAGTTGCTTGAAGCACTGCCGCGGAGACGGCTAATCCGCAAGCACCACCGGCACATCGGAAAAAGTTGCGATTTGAAGTGATGACTGCCCGGCGAGACTTGATGGAGTGCGCCTGCAGGGCCACCAGCGTTGGCTGGAAGATGAATCCGACACCAATGCCGATGATCAGCAGAGGAATTACGATGATTCCAGGCTTGGTATTTCGGTCGAAAATAAGTGTGAGACCAGCTCCTCTATGTCATTTGTCAGATAGATGCAAACGTAGTAGCCGGGATCGGGAAAGCCCTCGACTCACAGTGTCCAGAGGCCAAAGCCTGCCCAGATCACTTCTCCATACCGCTGAGTTCTCGATATGTACTGTCCCGAGATGATTGAGAATACGGATTGACAAACAACTAAGGAAACATAGATTCCCGCCGAATGGATGACCGAGAATTGATGAGCGTTCTGGAGATACAGCGGGATGTAGTAGAGATATCCTTGGTACGCTGCTCCGAACAGAAATGACTGTGCCAAGAGGACAACAACAACCTTGTTCTTGAAGATGGGAACTGTGTATTGTTAGCTAGCACTCGGGGACATATTTCTTGTTGACGAATATTACCTGGCATCATCGGAAGCTTGGCGAACTTCCACTCCACAATGACAAAAGACACAAGAGCAAGCGCCCCTATTGTCAACATGCTGATAACCATTGCTGAATTCCATGGAAAATATGCGCCACCTGGCAGAGTAAATCAGCTTTTGCTCTATCAACGCACGGGATCGAGCCGAGGAATAACTTACCTCCAGAGATGGGAATAAGCAGCAAAATAACGCCGGCCGACGAGGTGAATGAGCCTGCATAGTCGATCTTTTTGACACTCTTCATAAAGTCGTCATCTGGGGGCTTAGATGGCAGGAAGAAGTATGAGATGATACCGACGATAACACCGAGGGGTGAGAGCATCCAAAAGAACGCTCTCCATGTTGCCCTCTCAACAAAGGCGGCAGCAAGGAAAGGGCCGAGAACATTTCCAAGACCAACCATCGAGCCCAAGATTCCTTGATACTTGCCTCTTTGTTCCAAAGTAACGACATCGGAGACAATGATCATGGCGAGATTCGTGATACCGCCTCCGCCGATGCCCGCAACGCCACGGAAGATGTAAAACATTGTCGCATTCTGTGAAAGCCCACAGAGCAAGTCTGCAATTGACAAAAGACCGATGGCGCTCAGAAATACGGCTTTTCGGCCGAAAATATCTGAGAAACGCCCGTAGAGCATCTGAAATGTCGTGTTGGCGATGAGCGATGACGTACCCGCCCATGATATCGTATCCTCCGCGTTGAGGTCCGCAGCAATCGTTGGCAAAGTGATACTGATGCCATTCTGGTCGATGAATGAGACTAATAAAGTCACTGCAAGGGTTGCAAAGACAACTAGGAGTTTCTTCAAAGGTAAGATGTTTGTCTGGTCGTGGAGAGCCTTTTCGGCCTTGGTTGTTTCCTGATCGCCCCTCATGCTGCAACCCTGGGTAGTCGATCGCTTGGGACAAAGTACAACAATTTCGATGGCAAGAATATCAGCGTAAAGTATGGCCAAGTGATTAGGAAGCTCCAAGAGAATATGCGGCTGAAACTATGAGTAAAAGAACCAGCGCATGAAAACTTTTCGTGAGACAATCCGACGTTGAGAGCGGATACCAGCGTCCGGAGGAGCCAAGACTCGGATCACCGCCGTCAAAGATTGGTCAATCGGCCTCATCTCGGCTCCGGGTTCGGCAGCGAAAAAACTGGGCTGAAAAGTTGAAGGGGGGCGAATTCAACGTTGACTATTGAAAGAATGGGTGCGTCATGGCTAGGCCAGACCAACAAGGGATTTCGGCAAGTTTTGAAGCGATGGACTCCACAAAAGTCGTTGCTGGTCGGAACGTCCGATGCCGTCGGCTGGTCGCCAATGTGGCTCGCTTATCATTCTCGGCGGATGTCCGACGCTATTTATCCCGCATGATTCGCTCACCTGGAGACCATGTTATCAGAAAGCATTCGCTCGTCTGGTCGGTAGAAGGTGCCAATTTGGCAGCTAAGCTACTTCTTATCGAAAGGTTGAGATGGAGATGAGATAGCGGCATCAAGGGAAAGGCAGCTTTCAGTCATGATAAGGAAATACAACCTCAACTTGATAAATAAAGTAATGACGGCGAAGAATCGCAACTTGACATGAAACTTCGTAAGGTGTGTTGATGGTACTGGTTGAAAGGCACAACAAGTGTATCTGGAATTATTCAAACAATTTACACTGAGCGATGATGTTCTTGACGAGGCTCACAAGAGCTTGCTCGTCCCGGCACGAGTTCAAGCAATTCATCCAAACCAAAGAACATCCCGAAGAGGGGACGGCGTACTTCAACGAAGACTTGCTACCTACTCCTTCAGGTCAGTTGTCATTTGAAAGCTTTTCGACACAATGAGCAAATAGCTAATTTTTCTCTGAAGAGCATCGAAGTTGGACAGCTTTACACTTCTTCACGTACTACTTGACCCAGACATTTTCTCCAGGCTCTTACAATCTTGGAGCAACTCTCATCTCAATTGGCTTAGTATGTTGAGTCTAGTCTCTGCCGTACATTATACTATGAGGAGTCTCTTACAATCAATGCGCAGCAATGGTGGCACGGCATGATTGCAGCCGTGATCGGCTCCGCTATCCTCAGCGTTGTGGTTATCCTCAACTCCCGCGGTGCAACTTGCTATCATGTTGGATTCCCCGTTTACGTTCGCGCTGCTGCCGGTGTTAGCGGTGCAAAACTATTTATAGTCGTACGCGCCTCCGTCGCCATCATCTACTTCGCAACTCAGTCATTCTATGGCGGTATGCTCACTTCAGTGGCCCTCAGGGCCATATTCGGCTCCGGGTGGGATAATATTACTAACCGCCTCCCGACAAGCGCGGGGATTACTTCCAAGAACCTGTTGGCATTCTTCATCTTCTGGATCATGCAGTTTCCGGTGATGTTCATCCATCCGACTATTCTTCGACACCTATTTGTGGTGAAGTCCGTGGCTACAACTGCAGGTCTAGTCGGCGTCCTAGGATGGGCAGTACATGCGAATGGAGGGAGCCTGGGTGGTTTCCACTTTGGAGCAAAGTCTCTAAGCGGCGCGGCACTTGTGTGGCCCATGATCCAAGCTATTAACAGCGTCATGGCGGCCCTCTGCCCGATCCTGGTCAACCAACCTGATGTCGCTCGGTACGCTACACGTCCAGCACAGGCAACCTGGTCACAAGCCATTGGTATCCTGGTCAGTAAGGTGCTCGTCATGTTTCTGAGCTGTGCCACAACTAGTGCGGCTGCTGGTGTTCTTGGCAAGAGCTATTGGAACGTCTGGGATCTCTACAACGCTATCTTGACTGAGTACTGGGGTCCTGGAGCCCGCGCTGGGATGTTCTTCGCTTCCACGGTAAGATGAACATCGTTCAGAGCGGTTTTCAGTTTGCTAATCGGTGTATCAGGGCATGATTTTAGCGATTATCGCGACCAATGCCGGCTCAAATTCCCTGCCTGTCGGTGCTGATACCAGCGGGCTGTGGCCGAGGTATATCAACATTGTCAGGGGTCAGGTGATATGTGCTCTGCTTGCACCCCTTTGTGTACCGTGGAAAATTATCGCCAGTGCCAGTTCCTTTCTCACTTTCTTGGGGTCATACACCGTTTTCTTGATGCCGACCTGTGGTGTAAGTACAAGTAGTCTTTATCCCTACAAGAAATCCCCGTCGTATTAATGAATCTCCAGATCATGGTTGTAGACTACTGGATCATCCGTCGAGGAAACCTCCATGTTCCAAGTCTGTATACAAAAGTAGAAGGCGCTCCTTACACGTACTACAAAGGTTGGAATTTGCGCGCGGTCGCCGCATGGGTTGCTGGCGTTGCGTTCACTGTACACGGCATTGCTGGAAATCTTGACCCCGACTCCGTTGACCAGGCAAGCAAGAACATGTATAAGCTCGGTTTTCTGCTTTCTCTCGCAATGGGTTCGCTAGTCTACTTCGTAGCTTGTTCTATCTGGCCCATTCCAGTTTATCCACAAGAGCTGGAGTCAGAGATAAGCACGGGCTTTGAGAGCATGGCGCCATTAGAGGGTTTCTTTCCCGGAGAGAATGTTGATACCATTCGTGGAGTCTTTTATGCCGTTGAGGAGACTAAAGTCAAGCAGACTACGGGGAAGAGCGCCGGCGCCGAGTCTATCAGCGAGAAGTATACGGTTTAGAATAAGGTGTGGTCAAATACTACTTACTCGGATAACAAGTTTTATTCGTTTCATTTCGTCAGATTTTCGCGTCTTCCAAACAAAGTGGTCTAACTTTTTAATGGAATTATCAAAAGTCTTCGATTACTTGTCTTATCACCATAAAATCACCGTTGAAATTTGCCCCAACTGGTGAAAGGTTTCGACAACCTTTTGCCAGAAAAGATGCTAAATGCAAGGGACCAGACAGTGATTCCATTGTATCATTTCAAGGAGAACCGTTTTTAGATTTGATTCGATTCAAATGCTCTATTCGTTCCAAGTGCCTGAAAGACTCTGTAGTAACTCAAAATTCGGCATCCAGACAGGACTTGCACCTTCTGTGTCCTGATCGATCCAATTTGCAAGCTCTGCAACCATCGGCCAAGCGCCCTCAAACTCCCCAAGCGCTATTCCACCGTCTTCAGACATCAAGAATTGATTATAAGTGCTATCAATCGGACGCGTCGTGGTCTCGTTCCCACTGAGGTCAGGACTTTGTACTCCACGGCTATCAGCCGTGCCCGGTGCTTTGCCGGCTCTCATTTGGGCCGAGGCCATCTCAGCAAGGCCAGCCTCGTTGTCCTGAAGCTTTTCCATGGCTGCATTGACAAGCACCTCAAATGCGTCTCGGTACTTACGTACCCAGGGAGCCCTCTCGCTCATGACGAAGAGCACTAGGGAGCAAGCTCTGATATCGTTTGACACAGCCACCGACCAAAGGGCATTACCCTGGGTCCAGATTCCATACACGAGAGTGACTCCTGCAACAAAGACTGTTTGGACTGCGATGAAGCTGTGGCCGTAGTCTAGCGTCTGATGCAATCTCTTATGTGCTTGGCATATGTCACCTGCGGCTCGCATGCACAGTCCGTAGAACGGGTCTGTTGCTGGTAATATCGGCAAAAACGGCTGTATCAGAAGACGGAGCGCACGATTATAGAGCAGAAGCGCATAGTTCAGATCTGGATGACCTGCAGGAATCCAATCCCTCAGAGAGTCCCGCCAGAATTTGAGTTGCTGATGCAGCCGGTCTAGTTTGGGCCGGAGTGCGTCCAAAGTCTTGTCCGTACGATAGACCGAGTGATGAATCTTGGACTCGATCCTGCGAAGCTTGAAAAGAACAAGTGCCAGAGTGATGTCGTTCCCGACAAGGACCGAAGCAGATGGGTCCCCGTTGATGATGGTATTCGGAAGCTCAACGTCGATCTGGTTATCTGCGATGCTTAAAGGCCGACCCAGCGACACTGCTATGGTTCTTTCAAGAGAATAGACAGACCAAAAAAGCCTGCGTCTTCTTTGAACGATAGGAACATCAAGATTTTGTTCATGTGCCGCACGATGTAAGCCGAGATCGATTGATGTTCTCATTGCTAGACCAATCATGTACCACAGCCCATGACTAGATGTTGACCGAAGATGGAACATCACGAGTAACGTCATTGCCTCGATGTTTTGGACTGTTCTCGACTCCCTTGCTGCTGAGATATGCTGTAAAGCAGTGATATAGAGAGCCTTGAGGAATGATGTCAACAATCTCAAACCTAAGGTACTTAAGAATGGTGTCAAAGGCATACCTCTGGAGATAACACTGGCCCCCTTTGCGTCAATTGCACTAAAGTTGCCCCCATAGCGTATACAAGATACAACTTGAAGATACCGAAGCGTTCAATCCTTGTAAGAGTTTGTGCTGGTTTAGCAGCCAGAGTCATTCTCTCGCTATGCAACTTCCACAACTCCTCAGGCTCCAGGAAAGGGTACTTGGAGTGCAGCTGAGACGTGTACGCTTTGAGCATTTGAGAACCCTGCTCATCACTTGGAGGTTCCTTGACACTATGAGCCAAAAGATCTTCCACTGTGATGCATCTCGGACTGGGATTGATGCAGTTAGCTTGATTGCCTGTAGTGCCATCCTGTATGTCTGGCAACATCTTATTCCAGACAGTCGCTTGAACCATCTCGCCAAGATTCAGGGCTAGGGATAGTCCAGACGAGGGTCCAACATAAGCCGGCGCCTCGAAGTTTCCTAGCGAGACGTGTGCTACAACGTCACTGAGGGCATTTTTGTCTCTACCCGACGGAACCGAGTAGTTGCTTGCGGTTTCCCTTGGAGTTGTGGTTGCTTCTGGGGTAGGGACTTGGGCTAGCTTGTTCTCCAAGAAAGCTACTCGCTCTTCGAGAGCTCGTGTGTATCTGCATCGGAGTTCAGTCTACATACATTCGATCAAAACTTGTCAACTTGATCGGCATCGAAGGACCAACTACTTACGCAATCGATGAAGCATCGTCGGAGACATCTGTCTTATCACACTGTGCTCCTGATTTACGACAATTGGAGCAAATAGGATATTGGTCGTCACACTGGACCTAGAATCAGAGGAAAACGTCCTGCGTGCAATCTTGATTGGCTCTGGGTAAGCACCTTCTGCTTACGACTTTTGCATCTCGTACATGCAGTCCTGCCCCTCTTCCGGGGGTTCACAGCTACAGCCCCGGGCTTGGCCAGGGGCGGTGATACCGAGTTCTGAGTTTCGGACGCCATGCCCGTCCTTCAATGCCAAGGTTTGTTGTGCTGCCCAAAAACTTCGTTCGGATGATAGGGGCGGAGATCCGATTTACATACTTGTCGGATCCTCCTGAAATTTGCCGATGCCGCCTGAGCGCAGTTGATTGTTGGGACTAATCCGTGCAGGGCTAGTCTCTTCGGACAACATCCGATTCTATGGACAGTCACCTCCGATCGGAGGTTCCGACCATATTTGTGTCAACTGGCCGTTTTCGGCATTCGACCGTGTCGACAGGGTGCTTTCTGGCCGAAATCTGAGAATCCTAACAACAAGCGGTGTTTGGTCGACAACCCATTGCGCGACGATTATTCGCGTTATACCATTTGTTTCGGCTAGTCTACGTCTATTGGTTCTGACCCCGAGCTAGTTCTCGATTCCAATGAGCCTGAGAAGGCTCACACGGTCAAACAATTTGATATTGACTACATACATGTGATTCATTTGCCCTTCATCCACTTCCTGTTTGGCTCGTATGGAAATTCCGCTCTCATGTGTTTGGCGATATCTCGTCTCGTTGTAACCCAAACTCCTTCTTTTTCCGCAATGTACTTCATGAACTTCCTCAAAGCCTCCGATCTGCCTGGTTTGCCAATGATACGTGTATGCAATGGAATGTTCATCAGCTTGCCGCCCTCTCTGTACAAGCAATCAAAGGTGTTCTTCAAATACTGCTCATACGTCTCCGCAACAGAGCTGCCAAAGCCGGGCGACATGTGAAATTTTCCATCGTTGCAATCATAATTGTAGGGGATAAGCAGCATGCCTTCTCGCTTCTCCTCTGGCAACTCCTTCTCCCATGGCAAGTCGAGCCAGTAAGGAACATCATCGTTGTAGCATTCAGAAGACCAGAGAAACTCTCCTCCAAGACTCTTCCATACTTCCGGGAATAGCGAGGGGGTATTGGGTGTACCACGGCCAAAGTAAGCGCCGACGGGCATCTCACCTGATACTTCCTTCAGCATCAGGATGTTCTGTTTGATGTATTCCTTGTCCTCCTCGAGTGAATAGTTCCAGATATCCAGCCATCTGAGTCCGTGACAAGCGATTTCGTGCCCGTCTCGGACCAGCGCCTTTGCAAAGGTTGGGTTGCGCTTGAGCGCGTGCGCTACAGCGTAAGTAGTGAAGCTCCAGCCAAACTCTTTGAAGAGACGGATAAGACGCCAAGAGGCTGAGCGACTGCCATACTCAAAGTCTTGCTCAGCATTGAGGTACCTGGCGCCTTCTTTGTAGCCACCGGATGCGCCTTTCTCCCATAAGTAAGGTTCTGAGAAAGGGTCTCCGTCCAATGTGCTTCGTTCTCCGCCTTCCCTAATCATGTTTAGTGACAATATCATCAAGTTGGTGATAACCAAACCTACTCATAGTTGAGGACGAAAGAAACCGCGATACGGGCACCATCTGGCCATTTTGGATCGAAGCCCTCCTCGCCGAAACCTAAGGGTTATCGTATCAGTAACTGCGACTACGCTGAAAGTGACAACAGACTCACCCTCAAAGTCCCGGGGTATCTGCAAGCTTTCTTCGACATGAACCATTTTGTTAAGTGTAAAGATTAATCGGGTTGTTGATGATGAATTCCAGTCACGAGAGAGAATGAGAAACAGTCGCTTTTACTAATTATTTGAACTGGCACATAACATTTTGAAAGAAACATGAATGCATAAAGGCGCACCCATGATATACATCCAGCTCAAGGAAATGCTCTTCGATTAAGGTATATTCACCGAGGCCAATCAGGCGTTATCGCGATATGCTTGATACCAAGCGGGGTATTCCTGATGGTGGGGAGATCCTTCACGAGATAAGGCGATGGCGGGGAATGCCTACCGCAGTAAGCACCTAAGATGCGTTCTACTGCCGGTTCATTACCTCCGATCGCTTGATAACTTGCATGTAATTTCGGACGCCCGAAAACGCTAAGATAAGTCATTTCTAATTAGGCCGATAGAGATAGGCAGGTTGGCCAACGATGCTGGTGTGGACTTACCTATCTTGGTACGTTTCCCGCGATGCAAGCTAGGCATAATAACCTACACTTGACGCCTTGATAGATGCACAATCAGCGACAGACCATAACTCATGTGCAAAGTTTATTGCCCGGCTGAGTGTGAAATCTTACAAATCTTGATTCCCTTGGAACTATATTGACAACATGTCTGTCTTCTCGCTGGAAGTAGAAAAGGCAAACCCAGTGACAGCAGGAGTCCTGGACGACAGCTTGCGAGCGCTTGGCGTTACGATCAAACCGGAAGAAAAGGATGAATATCAGAGGCTTCTAGCCGTGTTCCACGAGTCTGTAGTGGGTCTTATGTCACTCCCTGGTAGGTTTCGTGTCCCGACCTCAGTTGAAGACATACTAATGACAACTTACGTCGCAGATTATGTGCCTCCAGTAGACGAGGAAAGATTTCCAAGGGAGGAAATTCGATTTCCGGCTGTCTCGGAGAATCCTTTGGGTGCTTGGGCTTGGAGGTGCCGAGTAGAGGACAAGACCAAAAGCGGGGGATTGCTGGCAGGTAAAACGATAGCCATCAAAGACAACATCGCAGTCAAGGGCGTTCCGATGCTTCTTGGTACCAACTTTGTTAGAGACTACGTTCCAGTAAGGCAAATCAATATGACTCACCAGTATTCTCATCAATTATACTAACCTAACTAGAACACCGACGCAACGTGTGTGGCAAGGCTGCTAGAATCCGGCGCAATCATTGCTGGAAAGTCCGTGTGCGAGAATATGTGTCATTCCGCTACGAGCAGCTCTTCCTCAACTGGGCATGTACATAACCCCTATGCCAAAGGCTACAGCAGCGGGGGAAGCTCAAGTGGCTCAGGGGCACTCGTAGCCAACGGAGACGTGGATATGGCTCTTGGCGCTGACCAAGGCGGTTCAATACGTGTCCCTGCCGGATGGTGCGGTCTCTATGGGCTGAAGCCGACCTTTGGACTTGTGCCCTACACCGGTTGCGGCTCAAATGAGCCTACCAATGACCATGTCGGCCCCATGACACGAACACTTCTCGACAACGCGTTGATGCTCCAGGTCATTGCGGGCAACGACAACATTGACGACAGATCGTTCGCAGCACCGAACCCAGACAACGTTCCCAAGTACTATGATAACTTGACGAAGCTGGAAACCCCGAAAGATCTGTCCGGTGTCAAGATCGGCATCTTGATAGAAGGTATGAACCAGCCGTCAGTGGAACCTCGCGTCAAGGCATGTGTCGAGGCTGCGATTCAAGGTTTTAAAAATCTTGGGGCGACCGTAGATGAAATTTCAATTCCCTTTCACTCCAAGGGAGCAGCCGTTTGGACTACTATCAGCAAGAGTGGAGGTTACCTGGCGAAGAGAAATCTTGCATTCGGCAGGAGAGGCCACATCATGACCGACTTGACGGACAAGCTTCAGGACCTTACGCAGAAACAGTGGGATAACGCATACGTTTCGTCAAAGAACATCTATCTCAACGGGGTCTACGCGCAAGCAGCGTTCCCAGGGTTGCTTGGAAAGGCGACGAATCTCAGCAGAAAGCTACGAGACGACTATGACAATGCTCTGCGAGAGTTTGATATTTTGGTGACGCCGAACTTACCCTACGTTGCCAATTTCCATACTCCCTATGACGCGTCCCCGCTCGAGAAGATCGGAAAGCAAGTCGGACTCACTGCTAACACCGCCCCTTTCAATCAATCAGGCCATCCGGTCCTCGCTATGCCGATTGGTATGCTTCCGATTGAGCAAGGTCCTCTGAAAGGTTCGGGAACAAAACTGCCGGTGAGCATGCAAATCATTGGCAAGTGGTGGCATGAAGAAGATGTTTACCGCGTCGCATACGCCTGGAGCTTAGAGTACGATTGGAAGACTAGATGAATGCATTCGGCGATCGATAATGACGCCGTAGACTCTAGACGGGTGTATGTACTCGCGGGACTTAGCAGGGGGGACTGCACATGCAGTCGTTAGAGGTTCTAAAGCCAATGCAGTCAGGCAATCTTAAACCATGGTCTGCACATTTGCAAAGAAGGTGGCGATTGAATACATTTAAGAGGATTGACTGATTGAAAACGAAAATTGAGGCCTGTCAGACAATTGCTTGACTCAGACTTGAAGTGTTAGTTCGGGTCTCATTGCTCCGAAAATCGGAGCTACTGTAGTGCTACTCCTCTAGCGGGCGCAACCACGATGTAGCGGTAATACGATAAAATCCCTTACTGCAAATGATCGAGCTGGTGGTCATTCACTTCAGAGACAGGCGGTGTGCAATGCTACTGCAACACTACGTTGTGCGACGTTCCGGCTGTAGACGGACCCGTGTCCGGCCCTCGAACGGCTCTCGGAGGCCTAAAAGCCGGCCGACCTCGGGGGCTGCGATTTCGGCCTTCTTGCCCTGCGCCGGTTCATCGGCGCCGACAGGAGGGGCCAGAAATGCCAGGTGAACCCCCACGCCCCGGCTCCGGCTCATTTCCGTATTTTCCAAGATGGCCCAGACTTTTCCAACCTGGAGAATGATGTTAGATAAGACACTTGCGGCCTTGGTGGAGCTCCAGGTCGTCGCCCTTGTCCAATATCAAAGCCTGATTCCAACCCGAAGTGGAGGTGACAGACGTAAAAGGTTGCAGATATTCCCCGCTGCGGAGACGCTCCGCTAGCACATAGGTCCAAAGACCGGGGCCCAATGAAACATTTTTTGCTGATTTTGGGTGCAGTTTTCTCACAAAGACCATGGATGATGTCTTTGAAGGCGTTTCGGCGGTGATAGTCCCAGTGCCCGACTTCGGAATCATGATCCCGAGGTGGGTAAGTATGCAGCCGAGAATTTTCTGACGTTTTTCTGGTGTGGTCTTTGATGCTTTATATACAGCGCTTTGCCCCCCTCAGAAAACGGAATAATTCAGGACTGGTTATTCATGATTTTGGTGGACACCTTTCCTTGGCAATCCCTGTCACTCTGTCTTGTCAACTCTTCGCTCTCATCAGCTGCCTAGTTGAACTTCAAGTTGTCAATACAGCTTCCCCACTACTGTTGCTTCTATTCCATGTTCGAATCATCACCGTCATCATGTCCATCATGTCTGAACACACATTGTCAGAGGTCCCCACGAGGAAGGACGAATTACCTCCCGACCTGCTTGCGTTGAGAACCTCCAACGCTGAGAAGGGTGTGAACATTATTGCTCAAACGCCCAGCCGACCATACTCGTACCGTGAAGATGAGACAGTCTACGATCGCTTTACACCCGGTCGTAAGCGAATTATCACAGCCATCGTGTCCTTCGCTGGTTTGGGCATTAACCTAGCTTCACTGCTCGTGCTCTCAGCGTTGCCGGAGGTAGCAGCGGCTTTCAACACAACTGGAACAGTCATCAATTTTACCAATGCTCTTTTCCTATTAATGATGGGCATCGGTGTTCTCTTCTGGGGCCCATTAAGTCAGGTCTACGGTAGAAAATGGGTAAGCAAAACCACCTTTGTACATCCCACCGTCATGTATCATAGTTGCAGTCAGCTCTCAATCGGCCAATTTGGCATATATCTCGCCCTACACTTGAACTAAATGTTCTAGATCTTCGTCATATCGACAGTGTTGTTCTGCACGTTTTCACTGGCTACAGCGGTTTCCCCCAATCTGCCAGCTTTCTTCATCTTCCGATCAATCACTGCATTTGCCGGAACCTCTTTCCTTATCGTTGGGTCTGCCTGTCTCAGTGACATTTATCGTCCGACTGAACGTGGCACGGCATTGGGTTGGTTTCTTGGAGGCACCCTGTGAGTTCAAGCCCCTTCACGCTCCGTTTTCTGGTCGACCGAACATTCATGGCTGATACATGTACTCTTCATAAGTATCGGGCCTGCTCTTGGTCCTTTCATCGGAGGTGTCATCGTTACGTATTCAACCTGGAAATCTCTTTTCTGGTTCCAAGGCGCTCTCGGTGGCGCTGCTATGGTCCTGGCAGTCGCCTTCCTCCCGGAAACAAGTCACGGAAAGTGGTCTGAAGAATTGGAGGGAATGACAACCAAAGAGAAGATTAGCCAGATCTGGGAGTGGGCGAATCCGTTTCGAGTCATCAGTCTATTTCGGTACCCCAAGATCCTCATCGTCGTGAGTTCTCCTCGCCCTTTCGTCATCAACGAGCCTTTGAGGTGTTTACCAGACCGATTACGGTATAACAACGACCGTCCCAGTGGATGTGTAGCTACAGCCTACGGCGGTAAGGCCCTTCACCAATGTGTATCATCAGCTGACTATGCACCCAGGGTGTTGCGGCATCGTCTGTCCTGTGGAATATGCAGGTTCTCTTGACACCAGTTCGCTACGTTATCAACCCGAGATTCCACCTTACCTCCCCTCTGCAGTCAGGATTCTTCTTCTTGGCACCTGGAGCAGGATATCTCGTTGGTACCTTTTTTGGCGGCCGATATGCCGATTACACCGTGAAGAAGTGGATCGCTAAGAGAGGACGGCGTATTCCGGAAGACCGTCTACGAAGTGCCTTTATCGCGCTAGGGGTTGTCATCCCGGCGACCACCATCATCTATGGATGGGCAATCGACAAGGCTAAGGGCGGAATCCCACTCCCCGTCATCTGCATGTTCTTGCAAGGCGTTGCGCAGATGGTCTGCTTCCCGTGTCTTAACAGTTACTGTTTAGATGTCTTCAGAGAGAGGGCAGCTGAAGTCATGGGTAAGCATGCTCAACCTCCTCCCCTCGGCCTAGTGCCAGATAAGCTGACAGTATTTTGCTAGCTGGCAACTACTTCATCAGGTACACTTTTGCTGCCGTCGGTACGGCAGTGGTACTTCCAGGTATTCAGGGCATTGGTGTGGGTTGGTTCTCCACAGTGAGTGCTCTCTTCGTTGCGATTTCAAGTGCTGCTGTGTGTGGTATCGTCATCTTTGGTACGAGACAGAAGAACAGGCAGGAAAAGTCGGAACGCGCCTAAGCACATGAGATTGCTGGAGTTTCAATGGGTAACATCAATCAAGCTAAGTCTTCAGTTTCTGTTTCGTCGTTCATCTAGCAAACATCCCCGTAGCATATCCCTGAATTCCAAAATCATTGAGATTCCTTCATCACTGAATGTTTGAGAATCTGAGAATGTAGACTGAGTCATGATAAAGGTAGGTCAATCGACGTGCGAAGATATCTTTAGCGCCTGAGATTTCTGCTCTGAAACATCAAGTGGAAAAGACTCGGAAGAACTTCCACCTAGATACGTCACTTTCAAGAATTGTCCAGAACATTTGGTTCTGTTGATGCGATGGAGACAAATCGAGTGCAGATTTCGGTCATGACCGGTGTCGTGCCAAGGGCGCAGGCCAGATGGAGACTTTTGAGCAGATGCAACCAATCAGTTTGCATCTTGACCTGTGGCTTGACAATAAGGCGCCCTAACAAAGGCGAAACTTTCCTCTAATAGCCGCGCAGAGACAACAGCCGACGCGGCTCGACGCGCCCTGTCAGTGGGAATTTAGCGTTTTTAGCGACGTGTCTTCCAGAAGCATCGATTTTGGGAAAGTCTTCTGGCTAGGGTCAAATGAAGATGATAGCAGGTCTGCGATATCTTGGAACCGTACAAAAGGGCGTTAGAACCAGATCGCTGGGCTTGAGAAGTAATCCGAACCATCCGATCAGATCTGCCATCGTTGTGGGCCATCAATTGCACCAAAAAAGCACGCCACGTAACGCCACGCATATCCCGATTCACTACAATTTATTCTCAACCTTGACTACATCGACCATGACAAAGTCCTCCAAGGTCCAAGAAGGCGTTCGCGTGACGGCCACACTCAGGCCAGCAACTCTTGATGACGCCACAGCAATATCAGAGCTCGCCACCCATGTCTTCACGGTCACATTCGGCCATTCAGTCGAGCCGCATGAGCTCCAAGCGTTCCTAGAGGAGTCCTACAGCCTCGAAGCCATCACAAAAGATCTCGACGACTCAACCAAAGACACACTACTCGCGGTTGATCCTACTGGAGACATTCTGGGTTTCGCCATGCTCACCCGGGGCTCCACAGAGCCATGTATCTCACATCTTGACGGTACTGTTGAGCTGCAGAGAATTTACATGTATCCAAAGGCACAAGGCACGGGCGCTGCAAAGCTTCTGGCAGACAGGTTAGAAGACATGGCTAGGGAACAAGGGTTTAAGCACATGTGGTTGGGCGTCTGGGAAGAGAATCTTCGGGCGCAAAAGGCGTATGGGAAATGGGGATATGAGGAATGTGGCACCCATGACTTTGCCATTGGATCAGTGATCCAAACAGATAACATTATGGTGAAGAAACTCTGAATGGCCCTGTTACGAACACAATAGAAGTTTGGAGTATATATATTTCAGGTTAGATTTGATTGCGTTGGGGACTTTATCTCAGGTGTTACACCCTTAGACGTTCTGGTAGACTCTATGCTTCATTTAGAAGTACTCATAACTTCATCGACTTTCCTCATGCAGCAATGGTGCGTCCTCTCCGAGTATCATCGAGTAGGTCTTTTGTCAATGTTATGCAACTCTAGCGGGAATCTCAGGCGGCAGCTTGCCCCATTGCAACTCTCACGAGGACACTGGTGGCCAAATACGCAATTTGGATCGGTGCAGCTGAGACCTGTATGGCAGTGAGACTGACGAGCGACAGCCCAGAGAACTTGCAACTCTTTCGGGCTCAGCCTGCCTTTGTGCTCGTGCGAACACTTCCCATAAGCTTCCCTATAGGGACATCTACCCAAAAGGTGAAGACTGTTGCACAACTTGCGGTTCTTCATCAGAATGAACTCCTGGTGGGTAAAATCAAGTGGTGGATCAATTCGCTGCCCGGCCTTGTTCCGAAGCACCTGCCCTAAAGGAGGCATCCTGGAGTCGACCATGGCTTGTTGACGTACTGGCAGGTCTCCAGCGAGAACCGATGGAGCTCTGGCAGCGGCTGACGCATAGTTGGGCGAGGGCGTCAATGGTGGTGTGATGTTGTAAGAAACCTTACGCTTGATGTTGTTGAACAATTTCTGACGCCTGAAAACCCTGTTGAAAGAAGCGACGCGGAACTGGTCTTTAATCTCGGCTAGCTCCTGCGCAAATGGAGGTCCCTCGAGAAGGACGACCTTCTTGCGAATCTCATCGTTATCGAGGTACGATCCCAACACGCGAGCGTAACCGCTATCTGCCGAACCACCAAACAAAACATGTCGACAGTGAACATCGGACACACTAGACTCAAAATTTGCTGAAAGATCTTAGTCGTCGCCCTTTGGATGCTTTTGTAAGTTCACTCACCCTTCAACTTTTCATCCGTACACTCCTTGCCATTACCCGCGTCAACAAAGTCGCACATTGCGTTCCACATGTTGAAGCCTCGGACGAAATCATCCAAAACGCTCGGATCAGGGATAACGCCCATTTCGGTGTAAGTCTTGGCCAGACCCTTTAAGTTGGCGTAAACGCGGACGGCCAGTTGCAAGTGATGCGGAAGGCAAGGGTCAATGGCCTTTAGCTCATCAAAAACAGCGAGACGTAAAAGGCTTGCAGCTTTCTTGCCTCCCTCGAGTCCTTGCTCAATAAGATCATCCAGAAACTGATTGTTCGCGAAGTCATCAGAAAACTGAGATATTGGTAGATGGCAAGCAAAAAGGTTGAACAGTTCTGACTTACTGGCATACAGTCGCCGTCAACGAGGACCATTGCAAAACAGTGTTTGTCCTAGCTGGGTCAGTGCCTTTCTGGCTGGTATAGCGGGTTGTACAACATGCTTTCTCGTTTTGCAACTTTTCGATCTGATATTTGATCCTGTCATCGGTATCGAAAAGAGACCGTACTAGCATCTTCTTTTCCTTTAGCTCCATCTTAACCTCGGAGAGCTTGTCGGAAAGCTCTGCAATGTGAGAGAACAAATCCTGAGTGGGCCAGTCAGTTAGGTACTTGGCAAATCATGCATAAACCAGCCAGAGAGTACGAAAATACCTCAATGAGGGAAGCCTTGTGGTCATCCTGAATTTTGCATATTTGCCATCTTTCTTCCAGCGATAGCGGTCCTTGGCTGTCTACGTTTGACATGTTGAACACTCACCGATTTCTGTGAGACGTGATCGGGAGAAACTTGTACATGACCTCAAGTTCAATCAATAGCCCTTGGAGTGCCAACTGCCTCTATTTAAGTAAAGCTGTTCACGCGGTGAAGTCACGCAGCCTTGAGGGCTTCAAGGCGTACGGGTTGGTTGCACTGCATTGCCATCAGCGAATTAAAGAGGCCGATTCTGTGGCACATGGTTTGGCGCCAGGCCTCCTCCAACAGCACCGCCGCGATTCAAGATATTGGGGCTGGCCGCATATTGGTTGGCCTGCTGCGGCGAGTGGTTGGCCAGATTTGACGTGGTGAATCTGCCTTGTGTTGGCGCGGACTTGCACTTTCAGTCTTCAGAGCCTGCACGGCTCGATATCGATGTACAGCTTATGAGTTATATCAACGATAACATCATTTAGAACAAATTACAACAAGCAGTAATTATTTGGTTACATTGATTACAAAGGCTTATTCAATTATTCTCATTGCTAAATTTCAAGCAGGACAATTCCACTGGACTCCAATACCATGCTAAGCAAAACCCAACTACTCAAAACGCCAGCTAAAGTTCCCTTTCCGAGTTTCAGATTTTGATTCGTGTAAATTCCACCCATTCATGTCGTATTACCAGAACCATGAACAGCCACCGTCAGCAACTTTCATTCTTTTTGAACCTTTCGCAAATCCGCTGTCCTGATGAGAGAACTACGACTGGACAGCTTGAGGCGTTCTGCTAAAGCTGAATGAACGCCAAGAAGACCGCTGAGCTGGTTTGTTATGAGTCACCAAGCTAGCCAAGAACGCCGGCGAAATCTCAGAGGCGGATACGGAAATTTCTGCCCTCTTTTTCTTCTTGTCTTGCTTTTTCGATTTTGTTTGCTTTTCAACCTTCGAAATTTCTGTCGGCCTACGGCCACTCAAGCAGGCGTCAACTACAGACCTCTCCGGAAGGACTTCGGCCCCGGCCATTTCCCGCGTAGGCCATGGGAACGTCGCGGCCATCTCCTGAATGGTAACGACATCCATCTTCTCGAGGATCTCCCGAAGCTGCGGTTCGAGGTCGTTAACCTGCTCAAAAGCCCAGTCGGCACGCCTTTGAATGCGGACACCATCACGACGCATCTGACCGACTAGCCACTCCATCGCCACGTGATGCGGGATAAGTCGAGCGTTGCGCATCAGCCAGGCCATCATATCAGGATCGCCGGTCTGCTTGACGATGGGCAAGCTGCGACCGCCGTGTTCCCGCTCTTGGAGCTTTTGCAGAAAGTCGTGATACATCCCCAGCGAAGAGGTCTGAAGACCAACGAATTGGCCGTGGAAGAGAGCACGAGCAACTTCATCGGCCCAAGCAATGCCTGCCTTCATGCCGGAGTTCGCACCTCTCCCAGGCCAGAAGTGCACCGTCATTGCCGCATCCCCAGCCAAGGCAACCAGACCGTGGGGTCGGCGCAGGGCTGTAGAGTCGCACTGCGGAACCTGCTCGACGGCTTTGTTGATCCTGCGTACAACAATGGGGATGCGAACAATGTTTTTCAATTCGCACTGCTCGAAACCGTAAAGCTCCAGACCATCAAGTATCGCCTTCCACAACGGGCTGTCAGGTTGCTGAGACGGTGCAAAGACCTGGTTCTCCTCAAAGCCATGAGGCAGGCAGCCGTCAACCTTCAGGCAACTTGGTCGCCCGAATGTGCAAGGATGGCCATCTACGGAGACCATTTGGTGCCATTCAGTCTCGGTCAACTGCATGTTGAGATATCCTGTGCCATCGAAGTCGCTGGCATTGAGGAGGTAGCGAGTTTGGCCCATGGTGAGGAAGATGTTGATGGGCTGTGAGAAAGGAAGACCACGAGGCCGATCAAAAGCAAGCCCTAGGGCATAGCTCTTTCCAACCTCCTCTTCTTGCCCCGGAAAGTAAGCACTGCGAAGCCAAGAACCAGCGCCGTCGGCACCAAGCATCAGGTGTAAGTCGCCGTACTCCGAAAGATTGTCCTGTCTGACCTGTGAGGCATGTAGGAAGATGAGATCGCGGAACTGGCTGTCTTGTGCCCGTCGCAAGAGACCGTCTTCGAGCTTGCGGATCTGGAGATTGCTGGAACCAGGCCAAACACGCTCTGGATTTCCGCCAAAGACAGCTTGTCTCGTTCTATCGCTCATCAAGTCTGTCACGGTGTCTTGGAGCGTGACTACCTGGTCGCGACGACGGCCCCCTGGTGGGTAACTGACGAAAGAGCTACCCGGCTGCTGAATCCATCTGCCTTCGTAAAGATGGACCTCCACTCTGGCCCCAGCCTTCTCGGCCAGAGCAATCGCAGAAGCCAGGCCTGTGGGTCCTCCACCAATGATCATGACTTTCAAAGGGGCTGCTGGGTATTGATAGACAACCGGGTCTTGGGGGAGCTGAGGTAGGTTACGAGCTACCGATGGGTCAAAAAAGAAATCGCGAACTGCATTCGTCTTGGTAGAAGTAAGAGCTTGGCTCTTGATGAGCACGAAACGCATCCACTGCAAAAGGGAGGTTGTGTTGAAGGTCGAGTGGCGGTTGTCAAAGACAATTCGCTGGACTGAAGCTGCAAGAGAGACGACATCTCGATGCCTGGGATTTGCTGCGATGGATCGGAGCTCGCTGTTGGTAGAAGCGTCATCTCCACGGTAGAAGAACAGAAAAGCTTGCGCGCGCTCAAAGTTGGTTTGGCCCGCTGCTTCCCAAGCCGCTTCCCAAGAGCGCGGAAATTGAATGTTATCAATCTCAGGTGATTGATTAGGGAAAGGAGTACGGCTGTCAAGCTTAGAGCTGGACATGGCCGGGGGAGAGCCTGAGCGGCTGCGGATAGACGTGAGCATGGGCATTGTGAATGACTGGTATAAGGAAATGAGATAGCAATAATTTATGCGGAGTATAAGGGTTGAAAGAAATGACTTTGGGGACTGCAAGGAGACAAGGGAAAGGAATATGATAAAACCAGAGAACAAAAGAAAAGAAATATTTGAGATGTGGTATATGATGATTCGTATTGCGAATTCATTTTTGGTGTCGAGAAGCAACTAGTCTTAATATATACTGACTGAGACCGAATTCCGATGCTTTGAGAACAGACAGATAGTCACGATCTCCAGACGAGCCCTAAGCTGCATCGCGCCCGACGTAGGGGCAGTGCCACCTTACCAGCACTGCCCACCGACCTTGCATCATCTCTGTCCCAAAACATCAGCCCTATGAAGGCGCGCAACTTAGGCTTCCCCACTAGGTTCTGCCGGAGAAAAGGTGCGTGCATATTGTAGGTTGTGGCTGGGCGACAGGTGTCTGCATCTACTGCGTGTCGTCTCAGTGTGGAAGCTGAGGAGTGCGGGCACATCATTCTGGTCCAAGAAGAGCGAGCTATCACTTGAAGGATCTTAGGTAGCATAGATGGAAGGGCCCCCAGCCTTCCCGCCGCACGTGTGCATCTATTCGCACAAAACGTGACACCCACTCAGAATGATTCTCGGTACCGCGATTATGGCTTGGAGTGCGGGGACGAACAGAGCAAGCATTTACGGTTGACTCCAGTCGGCTCGGCCCTAAATAGATGGGCAAAGCAATTTCCCTGATCGGGAAGAACTGCTGCAGGTCAAGGTGGTAGTATCGTTGAGAGCCACTAATATCTGACCACCCTCGGCTATACCACCTCAATGAGTGCTTCATACCAGACTGCAGTCTTGTGCTTACTTCCATTACTGTGCCGCCGGCCAGATAGCCGTCAAGTTGGGAGCAGCCACCTTTGATGTATCTAGCGAAGGGTGATAATAGGATTCGTTGCATAGGGTGATCGATCCGATAGGCCAAGACGCCTGATGAACACATCACATCGCATATAATTAACTTGGCATGGGGTAGCATCGAGAAGCTACGTGTGTCATTCTCACCGCGTACATGTCCTCCCCACGGCCATTCAGTACTTTCCTTTGTCCGAGTTGGGCACGAGATATGAGGGCTGATGCCTCAGCAACCTCGATATCCATGAGCTCCAGTCTCTGTGCTGTACTCAGCCACCACTAACAAGTCCCGGGAACACAACCCACACGATCTCGGCATTATCCAGCCGCTCGCTCCAATGATTATATCCGCGGTTGCTGGTCCGCCTTCTTCCCTCAAGGTACAAGACATCTTACTGGTTTCTTTGGCGCAGCCGCTGGAACACTCTCTGCGGCTGAGGGTGCGTCTAAGTTTTCAATGAGCTTTCGATTATGATAATATACGTGTAAATAGTTTGGACAAATTAATAGGCAAAACTCGAGACGCAAGCTTCTGCCAGCTAAGACCGGTGAGAGAAAGCTGACTTCAATTCGTGGCACATTAAGCCCGGCCATCTGACCATGCCTCGGGCGAAGGATTCCGAGGAAGTATCTATGTTGCTTATTTCTGAATAGACCTCAGCTGTTCTATTTCACAGACCTGAGTTCTATACTAGGAGATCATTCTAGAAGTATTGGGGAACTAACGATCCAGCTAGCTTCCACATCACTCTAGTGATATTCGGTATAGCATTTGGGCACTGGGCATAGCTCTCGAGTTTTAGACGATCCTCCAGCACTGTTCTCACACATTTTAATCCATTATTAGAGGCCCTAATCCTGCTCCAAACCACAGTCGAGTACATAGTCACATCACTATCAAGCCCAGCTGGGCTGGTACAACATCGAGGCGCTCGCAATTCGGCCATGTCATGCCCAAGTTATTCTCAAACCTCACCTTCATGAATTAGCGAGCATATAGAAGCGAGCATATTCTAGGAGTAGCACAGGTAAGAACAAGCGTTCCACTCTCATCCAGCTTGTCATCAACAAACTACGTGAGGCACAGCAGCTTGAACGGGAACTCGTGGTCTGACATGCATCAGCCAGAAGCTCGCTTAGACGCTAGAACACTTTGTTGGTCATGTCGCAGCGAGATCAACAGGGGTCAGGACCCTCCCGCGCGCCATATCAGACTCAACGCCCAATCAACAAGTGA